TAGCATTCCATTGTGTGAATATACTAGAGCTTCTCTATCCATTCGTTTGTTGATGGGCACTTAGGTTGTTTCCAACTCTTTGCTATTGTGAACAAAGCTGTGATAAACATGGGTGTGCATATATCTGCCCAGGTGGCAGCTATGGTTTCTTGACTTTTTTCTAAAATATGTCATTCACTTGATATCCTGGCCCTGGCCATGTGTGTGGGACGTGTGTGTGTGTGTGTGTGTGTACATGTGTACAGAGCCTACATATATCTGTAACACCCATGGTGTATGTGTACTTAAGAATTATATGTATATATATTCAGGGATCATGTACTTGGCATTCGTTAAACTGAGCCCAGAGATAGGTCTGCGTCATAACTGAGTCATATGCATTTATTGCCTCTGTGTGTGCATATACGTGTGTGTGTGCACAGTGACTGTGTGTGAGTGGACACTGACCATAGAGGAGTGTGTGAATATCACACGAGCTCAATGGCTGGGACACAATGACTTTATGTCCCCAGAGCTCAGTGTAAGTGCCTGGGAGGACAAAACCTGGTGACTTCTGTTACTCGCTGCCCTTTGATGGAAGTCAATCCTGACTAATGACTTCCCTCTCCACATCCGAATAGATTTGTACCCTGTAGGGGTTTCAGTGGCTGGTTTTCCATATATATAGATTGCCAGGCCTTCCTTCTGAGGTGCCTGTTGTTGTTTTGTGCTGCCGAGTTGCCTGCGACTCATAGTGACCCTGTGTACAACAGCCATAAACCCTGTTCTATCCTGTGCCAATCTTAGTGTCTCTGACACACCTACCCCCATTACCCCAGTCACTGAGTCATTGAGGGTCTTCCTCTCTTGCGCTGTCCCTCCACCCTCCCAAGCGTGACGTCCCTCTCCAAGGACTGATCCCACATTTGAACATGTCCAAAGAATGTCAGATGAAGCTTCAGAATCCTTTCCTCCAAGGAGCAGCTTGGCTTCACCCTCTCCAGGGTGAACCTGTTTGTTCTCCTAGCAGTCCATGGTATATTCAGTACTCTTCTCCAGCACCACAGCTCAAAGGCATCAATTCTCCTTCTATCCTCCCTAGTTATTGTTCAGCCGTCTGATGCAAAGCAAGTAATTGCAAAGACCCTGGCCTGTATCAGGGGCACGTTAGTGTCCATACTGACATCTTGCTCTTTGGTACTTTGGCGAGGTCTCTGACAGCAGACATTCCCAATGCAATTAATCTCTTAATTTCCTGGCTGCTGGTACCAAGAGTGTTGATTGTGGAGCCAAGCGAATTGAAGTTGTCAATAGTCTCTTTATCATCTATCCTGATGCTGCCAATTGGCCCAGTGGTGAGAATCTTTGTTTTCTTGATGTTGAGCTTCAATCATATTGAAGGCTGCAGTCCTTGGCCTTCTGCAGCAGGTGCTTCAGGTCCTCCTCAGTTTCAGCAAGCAGCATTGTGTCATCTGCATAATGCAGATTGTGGATGAGTCTACCTCCAATCCTGATGCCAGACTCAGATTAGCTACTAAGTGTGTTAACCATTTCCCTTATTCCAGGGCTCCATCTCTGCATATAGAAAGCATTTCTATTTTTTTAAATTTTCTATGGTGATTTGAGTAAAAATTTACACAGCAAATTATGTTTTCCATTCATCTACGTTTTATTTTATGACCTTAATGACAGTCTGCAAATTGTAGCAGTATTCTTCCCTCTCCGTCCCTGTGTTTACCATTTCCCTTTGACCTGATTTACTAAACCCTTCCTGCCTTCTGAGCTTGGTGCTTGGGCAAGTGGTGCCCTTCTGCTCTGACTGTTCTAAGGAGAGAGTACCTCCCTGCTATAATTGTTCACCTGGGACCTATCTACTGTCTGGCTTGAAGCCGAGCCAAAGGAATTTGAGTAGTTTCAAGATGGAAGGATGGCTAAGGGCCATAGTCTCTGAGGGTCCATCTGCATCAGACCAATTGTGGCCACTCTGATTATTTCAAGTTCTGTTCTACATTTTCCTCCCATTTGGTCCCAGTCCGTGCTCTGTGATTCCTTTCCGAGTGGCAGCGGTGGGAGCTGGGCATCATCTGGTTCCCCGGGTCTCAGGGTCACGGAGGTGGAGATTCGCAGAATCCATTAGTCTTTTTGGATGAGTTGTTTTCACGCGTCTTTGATTTTCTTCCCTTCCCTTTTTTCCAGACAGGGAACCTCTTTTTGCACCTCAGGTAGCGGTTTTCAAGCTTTTAAGACTCCAGTCAATAATCACCAAAGTGGGACGCAGAGCATTTCCTTCGAGGACAGTGTGAGGCTGATGGACCTACTGTCCACCAAGACTGTGGTCTTAACATCCTCATTCCTTTAGGGTGTATCTCCTTATGATTAAGACAGTCACATAGCTGTGCCCTTCATTGACTCTACCCAGGGCTATGTTTACATACAAAGACACGTGTAGAAATACTGTTTGCCAAAGCTTCGCATGGTCATAGGGAGCTGTAGTGGCCTGGGGGTAAGAAGCTGCACTGCAATCCCAAAGGCCTGTGTTTCAAATCCACCAGTTGCTCCACAGGAAAAGGATGGACAGTCTCTCCCTGTGCAATTGACTACCCCTTAAATCCCACTGGAGGGCTGGTTTTAACTCAACAACAAACAACAACCACATAGATGGTTCTGGGTCTAGTGCCCTTTGCCTGCCCATATCTGTTGGTCTTCCCTGTCTGCATATGTGGCTGCTTGGAGCTTAATATTTACTCTTATCCACTTCCATAATAGCTTACCTCCGGAAACCCTATGAAACTGGAGAAAGGATGAAAGTCACACAAGTGTTGAGGACTTTTGTTCATAAGGTTGCTATGAGTCGCCTACAACTCTACGGCACTTAACAACAACAACAACAACAACATCATACGGGATTGTGTGTGCAATAGTGTTACCTGTGCCCACTTGTACCTTTGTTGTCTCTGTCTACTGTTCAGCTCCCTTTCTTTGATGGTACTCTGTTGATCAGACCTCATGTTCTATTGCAAGTTCAGTGCTTTGAATCCATCAGTGGCACCACTGGAGAAGGATGGGTAGTCTTTTCTCATTAATACTTGTTGTTGTTGTTAAGTACCATTGAGTTGAATATGATTCATAGCGACCCTACAAACTATGGATCTGAACCCTGTCCTGTGCCATCTTCACCGTCTCTGACATACTTGAGCCCATTGCTGTAGACACTGTGTCAATGAGACACTATCTCATTGAGGACCTTCCTCTCTTTCACTGACCACTCACATTTCCAAGCATGATGACCCCCTCCAAGAATTAGTCTCTCCCAGCAACATGTCAAAAGTGTGTAACACAAAGCATTCTCTTCCTTGATTCCAAGGAGCACTCCGACTACATGTTCTCCAAGACATACCTGTTTTTTTCTTTTGGAAATTCATGGAGTAGTCACTACTCGTCTCCAACACCACCACACAGCTCAAAGGCTTCAATTCTTCTTCTGCCAACCTTATTCATTAT